TTTTCCCCACGAATCTTATCACTCAATTCTGCAAGTTTGGTTCTGATTTACTATCGTGTTCTCTAGCGGTCTAAACCCGCTTTTGACGTAAAGGGACGCTTTTTGGACGCCATGGGACGTTTCTAAGTTTCCAGGCAGAAAGAACATTCAAAATGCAGGCAGGGCGCCGGACAAAGCACTCGGGACAAAATATATGTGAAATGCATTGAAACAGCAATGACAGCAAAAATGACATTTTTTAAAAAAATTTTAAAATTTCCCGCCGGTTCTGGCGCCCCGTTCGTCCCGACGTCACAGGGACCGGAACACGGAAGCCGGATGCCGGCATCGGCCGGAGGAGTATGGCCGGGGACGCTGCAAGGGGACGCATCGCGGGAGCGAAGGACAAGGTAAGTGCTGCAGGGAACCCCAGAGCAGCGCCGCATGGAAAAAGCCCGAGTGTAGCTCGGGGTTACCGCTCTTGGTACTCAAATTTTACCCCGAGCTTACACTCGGGAATACGCAGGGAGGTTAAAAGGTACAAATATAACGCCGTCAATTTACGCAGCGCTTTACATAAATATTGTACATTCACATCAATCCCTAAACCTCAAGGAGCGTACAATCTAAGGTCCCTAACTTACATTCATACATACACCTTCTAGGGCCAATTTAGACAGGAGCCAATTAACCTACCAGCATGTTTTTAGAGTACTCAGAGGAAACCAGATTACCCGGAGGAAACCCACACAGGCACAGGGAGAAATTGCAAACTCCGTGCAGGTAGTGCTGTGGTTGGGTTTTCGAACCAATGACCCTAGTGCTGCTCAGCAGAATTACTAACCACTTAGCCACTATGCTGCCCATGTGCTATTTGCCATCATTTTCTGTCGGACTAAAATACTATAGTTGTTATCATTGCTCAGTTCCTAAAACACGGTTAAGTTTAGTAGACAAGTGTACTTTTACTTACATTCACCCCTACTGCATCCCCTTCCCATAGATACTCCCTTCTACTCACCATCAGCAGATAGGTACATGAACCTGTTGGAGCCTGGCACTGAGGTCAGAAGTGTCCATACTGGACTCCCTCCCCAGGAACCGTGCCCATTAGACTGACGGGCACATGGCTGAGGAGTTTTTTAGTGTGTTGGGCCGAGTCTGAAGGGGAACTGAGAAACTAGTTCAGATCTGCCTTGAAGTTGACTGACAGCCCATGGCAGTGTGAGGATCTCTAGCCACTAATCAGTACAATTGTGGCTTTTGAGTCCTCACACATTGTCAATCAAACATAAGGTGGACCTAGTGACTGGAGTAATTTCCCAAATAAGGGTATTAACCATTTTTGGGTAATTATATCACAACTATCCCTGTCCTATTTTTTATATTTAGGTGGTTGTAAACCTCAGAAATAAAATATGAACAAAGCATATACCTCTATAGGGTGTACTTGTCTCAATTCAGATCATTACGTGTCATTCTGTCTCCTCTGCCATCAACAGGGGCGGACTGACAACTCATGGGGCCCCCGGGCAATAGGGGATCATGGGGCCCCTGTGTCCTTGCCAAAACTCAAAAAAGCCTATGAAAAAGGTACCAGGGGCATCTCATGGGGCCCCCTACTGACCCTGGGCTCTCGGGCAGTGCCCGAGTTTCCAAATGGTCAGTCCGCCCCTGGCCATCAACATGAGTTCTGATACCATTTGCTGACACCAAGAGAAAAATGATGACAGGGGAGGGACCTCCAGCAGATTGACAGCTTTAGCTCTGTTCCTGTGAGCTATGTGAAGGGGTGTGTCCCTTCCCTCCAATCAGCTCTCAGAGCTCTCCTCACTGATGTAACTTCAGACTCCACCCCCTGCTTTTCAGAGCTGAGAGATCCTGTGTAATATCTGCACTTTGAATAGATGTAGTGGACAGACGGTGTAGACAAACAGATACAACGTATGTAGGACGATTTGTTTAATCTCTGTGTATAGGTCAGTCACTTCACTGGGTATAGGTAGACATCTACAACCATTTTTACAGGTTCCTGAAGTGGCAGTTAGAACAACCTGAAATTGTCTCCCATGTATGTAATGTTATTAACCATTTGCCGCCCGCCCTATGGCCGAATGGCGGCCGGCAAATGTCATCAGCGTTCCGGGTGGATGCCATATGGCGTCCTCCCGCACATGTGCAGATTGCGCTCCTGCAGAGCAGCGCAGCAGCGCGATCTGTCACTGGCCGTGTACCTCGGACACGGCCGATGACAGATCTGGGTATCGGCCCCGTTGCCGGTACCATGTGACCTGCTGTGACCAATCACAGCAGGTCACATGACAGTTGTATACAATGGATGGCTTCATTCATGCCATCCATTGTATACTAGTGTCTAGCTGTGAATGGTCACAGCTAATCACATGCACATGTCATGTGATTAGCTGTGGCCAAATCACAGCTAAGCACAAAACAAAAAAAAAAAAACCTGAATGAATCGATGTCATTCAGGTAAATGCTTGCTTATAGCAAAGTAATTCTTTGCTATAAACAAATTGTGTAAAAAAAAAAAAAAAATTCACTTTCCCAAAGTAGTACAATGTTACTATAGTAACATTGTACTACTTTGGGCATAGTGAAATATGAAAAAAAATCTTAAAAAAAAAAATATATATATAATTTTTTTTTTCATAATATATAAAAACAAAAATAGTGAAACTAATTTTTTTAATTTTTTAATTTCCCGAAAAATTATGACAAAAAAATACAACTTCAGAAAAGACTCGCCATGCCTCTTATGAAGTACGTCGGACTGTCTGCTTTGCAAAAAGGGGTCATTTGGGGGATATCTGTACTGTCCTGACATTTGGGGGATATCTGTACTGTCCTGACATTTGGGGGTATCTGTACTGTCCTGACATTTGGGGGATATCTGTACTGTCCTGACATTTGGGGGATATCTGTACTGTTCTGACATTTGGGGGATATCTGTATTGTCCTGACATTTGGGGGATATCTGTACTGTTCTGACATTTGGGGGATATCTGTACTGTCCTGACATTTGGGGGATATCTGTACTATTCTGACATTTGGGGGATGTCTGTATTGTCCTGACATTTGGGGGATATCTGTACTGTTCTGACATTTGGGGGATATCTGTACTGTCCTGACATTTGGGGGATATCTGTACTATTCTGACATTTGGGGGATGTCTGTACTATTCTGCACATTTGGGGGATGTCTGTACTATTCTGACATTGGGGGATGTCTGTACTGTCCTGAAATTCTTGGACCTCAAGAAATTCGATTGGCCTTCAGGACTGATCAATATTCAGATCTATACCATAGTTTGTGAACTCTATAACTTTCCTACAAACTAAAAAATACACATCCTAATTTGGGTTATTTTCACCAAAGACATGTAGCAGAATACATCTCGGCCTAAATTTATGAAGAACAATTATTTATTTGCAAACTTTTATAACAGAAACAAAGAAAAACTTTTTTTTTTTCAAATTTTTGGTCTTTTTTTTGTTAATTTAGCAAAAAATAAAAACCCCACCGGTGATTAAATACCACCAAAAGAAAGCTCTAGTTGTGTGAAGAAAATGATAAAATTTTAGTTTGGGTACAATGCTGTATGACCGCGCAATCAATTGTCATTCAAAGTGTGAGAGCGCTGAAACCTGAAAAATGGCCTGGGCAGGAAGGGGGAAAAGTGTCCGGTATTGAAATGGTTTTAAACAGACACAAATGCTTGCTTGAAATAGTAGTAGGTAGTTCTAAATGGACTTACCACCACAAAAGTGTAGGTAAGACTTTACTGAAATCCCCCCAGAGCGTGGAGAATATGGAGAAAAACTGTACTGGAATGTTTTTATTAATGTGACCGTTTCCCGCAAAGGGGGTTATCCCCGGCACCATTCAGCCGCTGAAGATTTCCCAAACGAAAACTAAATGTAAAACAAAGGGGGCCATGGATAGAAGTGATGTCATTACCCAAATATGGCTTAAGTCACTAGGTAGGTAGAGCTTGATGGGGAACTGACAGTGCATGGCAGTGAGTGGATTTGAAACCTGCTATTAACCTCCCTGGCGGTCTGATTATTTCAGATTTTTGGTGCTGAAAGCGGTACCATTATTTTGCATGGAAATATGTAGTTTTTTTATTGTAGGCTGTAATTTTTAGGAATAACTCACTGAAATCTGTCCGAACAAGAGTCTAGTAAACATCCGGATATGATAAAATTCGAAACACGAAATCATAAATTATAATTTAATAAATAATCATAAAAAATAATAATATAATAATAATAATAATAAATTTTAATTCAGTAATATAATCAAACCGAAAACACTGAAATGTGAAATATAGCGCCAAGTTCGCACATCGCTGAGCAAAGTCGCAAAATCGTTTTCAGTGTCTGATGAGGAATTTCCCCCACGAATCATTATCACTCAATTCTGCAAGTGGCTCTGATTTACTATCGCTGTTCTCTAGCCGGTCTAAAACCGCTTTTGACCTAAAGGGACGCTTTTGGACTCCATGGACGTTTCTCAGTTTCCAGGCAGAAAGAACAGACAAAATGCAGACAGAGGACAGGACAAAGCAGTAGGGGACAAAATGTATGTGAAATGGTTTGAAACAGCAATGTTTTACTATGTAAAATCGTTTTGAAAAAAAATGACTTTTTTTAAATTTTCAAATTTCCCGCCGCCGCCGGCGCCCGTCAACGTCCCGGCGTCACAGGACCGGAACACAGAAGCCGGATGCCGGCATCAGCCAGAGGAGATGGCCGGGGACGCTGCAGGGGACACATCGCGGGAGCGAAGGACAAGGTAAGCGCTGCAGGGAATCCCTATGCAGCGCCGCATGGTAAGCCCGAGTGTAGCTTGGGGGGGGGGTTACCGCTTTTGGTACTGAAACTTTACCCGAGCTACACTCGGGAATACACCCGCCAGGGGGGGTTAATTCGAGAAGCTACAAATCTATACTCTTCAGCATGCTGCCAATCAACATAAAGATAGATCTGACTAGGCAGACTAGCCTCCCGGTTACCCATCAGCTTCTGACCAAAGCACTACAAAACTTCTCAGCCATACACCGGTCAGTATGACGGGCAACGTGGCCAGGGAAGCAGAGAGGGCAATGAGGAAGGCATGTCCTGTATGGACACTTCTAACCTCAGTGCTGAACTCTCCCTAATTTATGCAGCATCTGTCTGACAGGTACATCAACTGAGCACAGGCAACGACAATGTTGGTGCAGCACCCCAGTGGAATACATGTGCATTTCTCAGATATATTTTTTATTTTTTAAAAACTTTATTAAATAAAACTTGCGCCAAACATACCAATAATGTTTTTCATTTACAGGAAACATTTGTTTTTATAGATGCAATGAATTTTCTTATAAGGTATTAAATATGACATTCCAGAGAAACTTAGGTATTGATAGCTATAAAGCTAATAGTTTAAAATGCCTCATTCATGTGTTATGGAAACATAAGACCTCTTGTAACACCTCCAATATGGCGTACAGACTGAGCCTTGCCAATCTCGTCCAGTGATGACATTTTTATACAGCATTTGCATTGGTCCAAGGCAGGCGTAATTATTTCCACACATCATGAAATTCAATTGCCAATTTAGTGCTTTCATGTGTTCATGGCAAAATTGTATAAATTGAGAAATTCATTTTAGGCTTCAAGCAATATTTGTTTTGTTCTGTAATCACCACTGCATAAAGGGTTAATGAATTATTTAACCATTTGACGCCCGGCCTATGGCCAAATGGCGTCCGCAAAAATGCATTACCTTTCCGGGAGGACGCCATATGGCGTCCTCCCGGAAAGGTAATCCCGGAAACTGCACATGCGCAGTTCGCGCGCTTGCAGAGCCGCGCAGCGGCACGATCTGTCACCGGCCGTGTACCTCGGACACGGCCGATGACAGATCTGAGTACCGGCCCCCGTTGCCAGTACCATGTGACCTGCTGTGACCAATCACAGCAGGTCACATGACAGTTGTATACAATGGATGGCTTCATTCATGCCATCCATTGTATACTAGTGTCTAGCTGTGAATGGTCACAGCTAATCACATGCACATGTCATGTGATTAGCTGTGACCAAATCACAGCTAAGCACAAAAAAAAAAAAACCCTGAATGAATCGATGTCATTCAGGTAAATGCTTGCTTATAGCAAAGTAATTCTTTGCTATAAGCAAATTGTGTAAAAAAAAAAAAAAAAAAAAAAAATACTGTTCACTTCCCCAAAGTAGTACAATGTTACTATGGTAACATTGTATTACTTTGGACATAGTGAAATACGAATAACAAATCTTAAAAAAAAGAAAAAATATTTAATAAAAAATTAAAAACAAAAATATATATATATATTTTTTTTTTCATACTGTCACCAGTCAGTGTCCCTGATCACAGCGCCATGCCAGTTATATGATGACGCTGTACTGCACTGGTGACAGTATGTAAAAAAAAATAGTGAAAATAATTTTTTTATTTTTTTTATTTTCCGAAAAATTATGACAAAAAAAATACAACTTCAAAAAACTCGCCATGCCTCTTATGAAGTACGTCGGACTGTCTACTCTGCAAAAAGGGGTCATTTGGGGGATATCTGTATTGTCCTGACATTTGGGGGATATCTGTACTGTCCTGACATTTGGGGGATATCTGTACTATTCTGACATTTGGGGGATATCTGTCCTGTCCTGACATTTGGGGGATATCTGTACTGTCCTGACATTTGGGGGATATCTGTACTGTCCTGACATTTGGGGATATCTGTACTGTCCTGACATTTGGGGGATATCTGTACTGTCCTGACATTTGGGGATATCTGTACTGTCCTGACATTTGGGGGATATCTGTACTGTCCTGACATTTGGGGGATATCTGTACCGTCCTGACATTTGGGGGATATCTGTACTGTTCTGACATTCTTGGACCTCAAGAAATTAGATTGGCCGTCAGTACTTCAGGATTGATCAATATTCAGATCTATACCATAGTTTGTGAACTCTATAACTTTCCTACAAACTAAAAAATACATCCTAATTTGGGTTATTTTCACCAAAGACATGTAGCAGAATACATCTCGGCCTAAATTTATGAAGAACAATTATTTATTTGCAAACTTTTATAACAGAAACAAGAAAAACTTGTTTTTTTTTTTCAAAATTTTTGGGCTTTTTTTTGTTAATTTAGCAAAAAATAAAAACCCCAGCGGTGATTAAATACCACCAAAAAAAAGCTCTAGTTGTGTGAAGAAAATGATAAAATTTTAGTTTGGGTACAATGTTGTATGACCGCGCAATTGTCATTCAAAGTGTGAGAGCGCTGAAACCTGAAAACTGGCCTGGGGGCAGGAAGGGGGAAAATTGCCCGGTATTGAAACGGTTAAATAATGTAAAATTCTATGTGATATAAATGGTGTCAAGTCTTTAAAAAGGCCTTCGTAACTCTAGTGGCTGTGAGGGGTTGGAAAAATTTTGTAAAGACTAATCTGATGTTCTTGACTGGTAAAGAGTTAGCAAATAAAGACTACAGCACAACCTAAAGGTTTGCATCTGACAGTATACTGCAAATATAGAATAGAAAGTAAACAACTCAAGAAACAGAGATTTCCTTGTCAAAACCGCAGTATAAGTCAGGGAATTACCCAGCTTTGATACTGCTGAGCAAGTTTATGAATGGCTGGAAAACTAACTGCAAGTGCTCCTAGGGGATGATTTACGAAAGAGCAAAGTAGGCATCCTTTGCGAGGGAATTTTTTCTTAGCTCACTGAATGAGGTGAAGCTCGGCTGACTTCTAACATCCAACTATATATGCAAGCAAAAAAAAAAGTATTTTAAAAAATGATTTTTGCACCTGATAGGTATTCAAGTGGCTTGCCCAAAACTTTTATTTTAGGTTTGTATAGAGTGAGAAAGGAGTAGAACTCCTGTCAGGATTTTACTGTAGTAAAAAGCACCATTAGAGAGATTTCCTCTTACTTCTTGTAACCTTTTACCATCTAATTTGCAATATACGCACACGCTTGCAACTTGTGACACATACACGTGCTGCAGAGAACTATAGCTAAGAGCCTGATGCAATCAGAATTTGATTTCTGTTTTGAGATGATGGCCCAATGCAGAAGGAGAAGTCATTATTAGACATACGGCGGTTCGGCGGCCATCTTAGAGTTTGGAAACCGCAGAGAAATCCACCTGGAAGCTGCCTGGTAACCCTTTGAACTGGGAATACACTTACTACGCTTTTTTGTATTTGTCTGATGTAAGCAGATTGATTAAAAGGTATTATACATAAATAAAGTGCGGCGCCAATGAATAAGATAAATAAATAAATGAATAAAATCTTCAGATGATCTGAAAGGCACAGTAAGGTATGTGACACAAACTGTCATAAATAACGCAGCGAAAAAAGTGGTGACTAATACATCAGGTGAAAAAACATAACAATGTCCAGAAAAGATGTCGCAGGATCCTGTGTGTGAAAAGCTGAATATGTCAGGATCAAATGGTAAAACTGCGCACTCACCGGACGCGCTAAGGATATGCACATAAGATAACAGACCACCGGAAATCCCTCATCTAGTGGGGAGAGTAGATATCCATCTGGGCACAGATAATCCTGATGCTCCCTCTAATTGGTATGTAGTAAGCAGTTTCCAGATCCAGGAGTCCCCTCAGGGCTGATTAAACCTTTCCTTATAGGTATGAAACTCCCTCTGGTGGCAATGGTAGGCAATAGGATATCCTGGAGTTAGCTCCAAAAGGAGCCAAAAAAGTGCCTCATAGTGTAGTATTTAAAATCAAAAAATTTATTGTATATATACAGCATATAAAAGCAGGGTGGAAACACTCAGGGAATAAAAAGAGTGACTGACCCAAAAATAAGATGGCCGCCGGGCCTCCTCGTGGCTCCGGGCGGCTAAGACGTCACGCTCTGTTGGCTCCTCCATTAAAAGGTATTGTTCCATTTTCCAAACGGTGTTATACTATTATATTATTGCTTTTCACCTATATACGATTTGGAGGAATCTCTATGAGATCTGGGCAAGGCTCATGTGGGACCATGATGGGAAGGTAATAAAAGTGGAAAGCTTCAGGAGTAGAGGAGAGGAGAAGAAGCGTTTCTGGTGATACCTTCTATTGATATACAAGGCGTTTTATCCTATGATTTCTGGGAAGGGTATATTTGCTGATTTCAGTAGAGGTGACACATCACTGGAGTTGTTTTTGGCACAGAGTGAAGCACATCACTGATTTTGCACAGTGTTGGTTTGATTCACAAAAATTTTTGTTTTTTGCACTAAATAGAGTGATATGGAATATTGTTATATACTAGGTATTGAGGTAATACACTATTGTGAGTTTGTTTTTCTTGGAGGCATTCTCCAGCTTCTTGGGAGCCAGAGGAAGGGATCAACATCTCTAAAGGACTATCAAGTTGGAGTCTGGACATTGCTTTATTTATTTATAATTTTGGACTTTAACCTCCCTGGCGGTCTGATTATTTCAGATTTTTGGTGCTGAAAACGGTACCATTATTTTACATGGAAATATGTATTTTTTTTATTGTAGGTCTGTAATTTTTAGGAATAAACTCACTGAAATTTGTCCGAATTCCGAACAAGAGTCTAGTAAACATTCCGGATATGATAAAACTTGAAACACAAAATCATAAATTATAATTTAATAAATAATCATAAAAAATAATAATCTAAAAATAATAAATTTAATTCAATAATATAATCAAACCAAAAACACTGAAATTTGAAATACAGAGGCAAATTCGTACATCGCTGAGCAAAGTCACAAAATTGTTTTCAGTGTCTGATGAGGAATTTCCCCCACAAATCATTATCACTCAATTCTGTAAGTGGTTCTGATTTACTATCGCTGTTCTCTAGCCGGTCTAAAACCGCTTTTGACCTAAAGGGACGCCTTTTTGGACGCCATGGACTTTTCTCAGTTTCCAGGCAGAAAGAACAGTCAAAATGCAGACAGGGGACAGGACAAAGCACTCGGGACAAAATGTATGTGAAATGGGTTGAAACAGCAATGTTTTACTATGTAAAATCGTTTTGAAAAAAATGAAAATTTTTTTAAATTTTCAAATTTCCCGCCGCCGCCCGTAGTCCCGACGTCACAGGGACCGGAACACAGGAGCCAGATGCCGGCATTGGACTTTTCTCAGTTTCCAGGCAGAAAGAACATTCAAAATGCAGACAGGGGACAGGACAGAGCACTAGGGACAAAATGTATGTGAAATGGGTTGAAACAGCAATGTTTTACTATGTAAAATCGTTTTGAAAAAAATGAAGATTTTTTAAAATTTTCAAATTTCCGCCGCCGGCGGCGCCCGTACGTCCCCGACGTCACAGGGACCGGAACACAGAAGCCGGATGCCGGCATCGGCCGGAGGAGATGGCCGGGGACACTGCAGGGGACACATCGAGGGAGCGAAGGACAAGGTAAGTGCTGCAGGGACACTCCCTATGCAGCGCCGCATGGTAAGCCCGAGTGTAGCTCGGGGGGGTTACCGCTTTTGGTACAGACATTGTACCCCCGAGCTACACTCGGGAATACCGTTAGGGAGGTTAATGACACTGGGTATTAATTCCACTATATTTGTGAAAAGGACTTTATTTACTTCATTTTTTTATTTTATCTCATTTATTTTATTTAATTTTATTCATTTTGTATTTGTAATTTTTGGAGATTTATTTCCTAGGAATTTTGCATCGTATTTAGTGTGTGTGTGCACGGTTCTTGAGTCACTTTGTGAGAGGCACATTATATTGATTTATAGATATTGTTATCATTTTGGTTTTGACACTTTATCTGCTTAGCACTTTTTAAGGTATGAATTACACCTAGTACTATTTATTATATATATTACTTATTTATTATGTATTTATTATATATATTACTTATTTATTTATTCATTTATTTTTGTATTTGTAATTTTTGGAGATTTATTTCTAGGATTTGTTTGCCACTAATTAAAGGGTGGGGATTTTATAAGGTGGGGACTCATTCAAATTGCTATATGATTACATACAAAAGTGTGCCTATAATAGTTCTCATAAGAATAGCAAAGTAAAAACTTGTTAAATTACTGAATAAGTTGAGCTTATTAAAAAAAAAAAAAAAGTTAGTGTAACTTTCTGGTGTTCAGCAAGGTGCATGTACAAATGGCTGAACCAAAAATGCCCCATACAGAACCGCTGGCTACTTAGATAGTAACGAGAATTTAACCTGTTTCCTGTAGAGAAAACAGGCAGAATTCTGGAAATTATAGGTGCCAGATTTAGAGCAGGTTTACACTGTCTTGCTCTAAAACACATAGCACATTGTGGGATTTTATTGCCTATTTCCAGCATGGAGACACACACTAAAAGTATTGGAGGAATTAACAGGCCTGGCCTGCAGAGTCTCATCTATTTGGCACCATTTTCATTTGGCATGCTATGTACTTTCTGTGCAGTGAAGTCCAGGATTCACTTAGTAATGCCAATAAAATATATTACAGCTTTTCATAAATGTAGATGCTGTACAGGTCACTAGTTGATTTAAACCTTTGAATAGGAAATATGTAGGGAAGTCAAATTAAAGATATTTACAAAGATCGTGGGAGCAGCTTTAAATGTGCCAGCCTGAGGGAATGGGTCACTTATTATCATTACTGACCATAGGGCAAAACTAACTGTTTTCTGTAAACAGCTGGTTAAAGTTAAATGTTATTTGTCGATATCCAATCGTGACGTAACGCATAGATACGTTCGTGGGAGGAGCTGTAGCGGTGACGCGGCCGACGCGGTGACGTCACGTCCGGCGTAGGGGCCATCTTGGTACACCTCACCAGAGTCCATGCATGCAGTACACCCATAGTGTGGTGGAA